ACATGGCCCACCTTCAACCTGGCCAAATCATGCAGCTGTAAATAGTGGTAGCTCAAGACAAGAATCTCAAGTTACTGATCAGATCCCCACTACATCTATAGATGCTTCCAGAAAGGAGATGGTGAGTGTTTCACGGGATGAGTATGAGCGGTTCATTCAGGGTACATCTCAACAGAACATGGCTACCCTTGCACACACAAGTATGGCTTGTCTGGCATCCACACCTTCCCGTTGGATTATAGATTCTGGAGCTTCCGATTATATGATTGGAACTCCAGGTTTGTTTTCATCCATTTCTCCGTCCACTTCCCAATCTGTTACTCTTGCCAATGGCTCTACATCAGCCATACGTGGTGTTCGTAATGTTGACACAGACTCATTATCCCTCTCCTCAGTTTTATATGTTCCCATGTTTCCCTTTAACCTAATGTCTGTTAGTAAATTGACTAAATCTCTTAATTGCTCAATAACTTTTTACCCTTCCTCTCGTGTGTTTTAGGATCTCAAGACGGGGATGAAGATTGGTGGAGGGCATGAAGCTAGGGGACTGTATTATCTTGATGGAGGTGGTTCGGCAACAACCCTTTAGTCATCTCTCTCCCCTCATAAGTGGCACTGCAGACTTGATCATCCGTCTCTTAGAGCTCTTTAGTTACTTGTTCCGTCGTTGAGTCATCTTTCTAATTTAAATTGTGATTCGTGCCAGTTTGGGAAACATCATCGTGTCTCCTTTAGTCCTAGAGTTGATAGTCGTACATCGAGTCCTTTTTCTTTAGTCCATTCGGACATTTGGGGTCCAAACAGAGTAGTGTCTTATAATGGTTACAAGTACTTTGTAATTTTTGTTGATGATTATTCAAGGATGACATGGCTTTACTTTATGAAAGAAAAGAGTGAATTGTTTTCTATGTTCCAGAAATTTTATGCTGAAATTCGCAATCAATTTGGTGTACATATTAAAATTCTTCGTTCTAATAATGGCCACGAGTATTTTTCCACACCCTTTCAAGAATATTTGGAACAACATGGCATTATCCATCAAACCTTGTGTACCTACACCCCTCAACAAAATGGGGTGGCTGAAAGAAAAAACCATCACCTTTTGGAAACTACTTGGTCCCTCKTACATTAGATGAATGTCCCCAAACCCTTTTGGAGTGATGCTGTATTTACATCCTGCTTTCTTATTAACTGCATGCCCATGTCTATCCTTGAAGGTCAGTCCCCTTTCTCTGTTCTGTTTCCCACGTTGTCTCCTTTTCCCCTTACTCCTAGAGTTTTTGGATGCGTGTGTTTCATTCATAATCTTGGGCCTGGAATGGACAAGTTAGATGCTAGATCCACTAAGTGTGTCTTTCTTGGCTATTCTAGGACTCAAAAAGGGTACAAGTGTTATAATCCTCATTCTCGACGTTCTTTTGTGTGTTTTGTTGTTACATTTTTTGAGTTTGTTCCTTTCTTCTCTGGGTCGGATACTTCTCCTCTATTGCCATAATCCCCTCTTCCAGTTCCTGTTGAGGATCCTGTTCCTCTTGTTCTAGTTATGACTCAGTCTTTGCCTCTAGTGCAGCTACCTGAGAGAGGACCACCTATCCGACAAGTGTATACACATCGTCAGGCATTGGTTCCTCCCCTAGCTTCGTCATCGTCGATAGATCCGGCAGTTGTTCCCACCCCAACCTCAACCCCAAGTTCTGACCTTAATCTTCCTATTGCTTTGCGGAAAGGTAAACACAGTTGCACTCTCCACCCCATTTCCAATTATGTTTCTGTATCTCACCTTTCGGCTTCCCATCGACAGTTTGTTTCTATGTTATCCTTTGTCTCTATTCCCAAGGATGTCTAGGAAGCCCTCACTTCTCCAGGGTGGCGCCAAGCAATGGAAGAACTCTCGGCCCAGACTCGTACTCATACATGGAACCTCACCACTCTTCCGCCTGGTAAGCATGTTGTTGGCTGTAAGTGGGTGTACACAGTTAAATACTTACTTGATGGGAGTGTTGAACGGTTGAAAGCTCAGTTAGTTGCCAAAGGTTATTCACAGCAGTATGGTATTGATTACACAGACACCTTCTCTTTGGTTGCCAAAATTGGGTCGGTTCGTGTTCTGATTTCTCTTGCTGCTATGTTTGGTTGGCCCCTACTTCAGCTTGACATCAAGAATGCTTTTTTACATGGTGATCTTCTTGAGGAGGTGTACATGGAGCAACCACTAGGGTTTATTGCTCAGGGGGAGGGTGAGAAGGTATGCATACTTAAGAAGGCTATATATGGACTTAAACAATCTCCCCGTGCATGGTTTGGGAGATTTAGTGAAGTGGTGAAGAAGTTTGGAATGAAACAGTGTCAGGTTTACCATTCCGTATTCAGCTATGAATCAAATGCTGGGAAGATTCTCTTGGTGGTATATGTAAATGACATTGTTATTACAGGCAGTGACAGACCGGGGATTGATAGGTTGAAGACTTACTTGCATGATCACTTCCAGACAAAGGATCTTGGCAAATTAAGATACTTCCTAGGGATAGAGGTTGCGAGGTCCAAGAATGGTATTAATCAGTGCCAGAGGAAACATGTTCTTGATCTGCTAGAAGAAACGGGGTTGTTGGGTGCCAGATCAGCTGAAACACCTATGGAACTGAATGCTAAATTGGGTAGTGATACAAGTGAGGAGTTTGAGGATTCGGGAAGGTACAGAAGGTTGGTGGGTAAGCTTAATTACCTAACCATCACTCGACCTGATTTCTCATTTGCGGTCAGTGTAGTGAGTTAGTTTATGCAGAACCCTCGAATCCCACACTGGGAGGCAGTCCTAAGGATTGTGAGGTATTTGAAGGGTGCCCCAGGTCGTGGTTTGTTATATAAGATTGGAGGAAGTCTTGAGATAGAGGGATACACGGATGCTGATTGGGCCGGGTCCATATTTGATAGAAGATCCACTACAAGGTATTGCACTTTTCTTGGTGGGAACTTAGTGACATGGAAGAGTAAGAAGCAGACAGTGGTAGCAAGAAGCAGTGCATAGGCTGAATATAGGGCTATGGCACACACAACATGCAAACTAGTGTGGTTGAAGCATCTCCTAGAGGAGATATCCTAGAGGAGATGGGATACTCGATTGACACTCCTATGAAGCTATACTGTGATAATCAATCTGCAGTTCATATCTCCTCTAATCCAATATTTCATGAAAGGACAAAGCATATAGAAGTGGATTGCCACTTTGTATGTGAGAAGGTGCTTAGTGGAGTGATAAGTACAACATATGTGAACACAGGAAATCAATGGGCAGATCTGTTTACCAAATGGTTGAATCGGGGAGGAGTGGACTACATATGTAACAAGCTGGGACTTATGACATATACTCACCAGCTTGAGGGGGAGTGTTAGAGCCGACTGTACAAGGGTAGTATAGTCCTTTTATGTTTAGTTATATATGTATTGTTCAGCTGATGTGGCTCTTACTTAAGTGAGGGCACAATGGTAATTCTTGTATATCTTAGAAGAGTATAAATAAAAGAAGGGCCGACTAGAGGGATTTGAAAATTTTCTCTCTAGTTCGGCTGTGACCTTTTCTCCTTCTCCTTCTTCTCCTTCTCTCTCTTCTTCTCCTCTTTCTTCTGATCTGAACTTATATGAACATCTAGTCTGAGTTTTATCAGAGATAAAGCCTCTTATCTCCTACCCATTCACTCATTTTTCATTTACAACTTTGCCCAAAACATTTAATCTCTCCCCTACCCCTTGTTTAGCTAGATAGTCAACCATGCTATTTGCTTCTCTTTGCACCCATTGAACTCTCACTTTATATCATTAGTTAGCTACTTAAACATTTTTAATTCATTTCTGTAAACCCATAAAGCATTGTCTTTATTCTGTAGCCACCCCATCACCAATTGTGAATCTCCTTCAATGATCACTTTATTCATATTCATAACCTTTGCTCTTTGCACACCCTCCATTACAGCCATTATATCTGCCCTTAATGAGTCTCCAATACCAATTGGTCCTGAGAATAGCACAATGATGTAACCAGCTTCGTTCCTAAAAGTGCCTCCTACTCCTAAATGGCCTGAATTTCCCCTACTACTCCCATCAAAATTAAGTTTATGAACCCTCTTTCTTGTGACATCCCATTCTTGAGGATTATGTCTTTTCTTAGTGAGGACCTTGTCACTTCCTTCCATCTTCTAATATTATTATCTGTTGAGAATACTGAGAACAACTCTAAAAACTTCAGCCATTGAACCAATCTGATGGTTATGCATTTGATAATGGCTTCCCTGATTCTCTTTCTCCTTAAATATTCTTGCATTTCTTCTCTCCATATTTAATATTTATATCTTGCTAACCTTAGGAGTGCCCATGAATGGTGAAACAGGATTCATGTAGCCAACCCCATATGGTTGGGATAAGGCTTGGATGATGAAATGTTATATTGGGTGTGTATTGTGTCTGACATGGGTACACTAGGCATGTACTGGTACCCAGGTACCAATGGTCAAAAGCAGTCCTGTATAACATGATTTCATGTTTTCTACAAATGTTGATAACTGCATCATTTTTTCCTTAATTCAGAAAATGCCCAGAAAGAAGGGTTCACCTCATGGTTCAAAGTACCAATACGCCTCTGTGTATCGGCAGAGGCATATTGGTACTTAGATACACGCGGAAACRTGGTTTTTTTAGTTTTTTTTTTTCAAAATTTGGTTTTGGAGAGTTAAATACATGTATTTTTTATTAAAAAAGAGTGGGGTCCCGAAACACCTGTAAACAGGCGTATTGGGACCCAAAAGATATGATATGATATGCCCGATACGGGGCGTATTGTATAAAAAATTTGAACCTTGGTTCACCTTGCCAATGTAGCAATGGCTTTGGGCTGAAATATGCACCGTAAATAGATGGCAGGGAGGAAAACACATGGGGCCCTTTTGTCCATCAACATGGTGCCATATGAAGGGGCCCTTTGTCATTTAGACTTCTCTACATGATATATGGGATAAACATGAAAGCTATGAAATCACTGCTTCTGTTACCTGCACAATTGCCTGTGCACAGAGCTTCCCAGACAAAACAGCACCTTCCATTGAAGCCAAGTACTTCTGCTTTGTGTAGTCACCAGCCAGATAGAACCCTTCTATAGGAGATCTCTGTATGGGGCGGCATGGTTCACAATTAGGAACTGTTTTATAAACCGACCTGAACAGAAACATGCAAAATATCTTTTTTAGGATTTTTCTATATTGATCAAACAAATAACAAACTTGTATTTTGAACTGATGTAATATATGTCTAAGTTGTATCCAAATGCACTATTTAGACAGTTCTAAAGGTAAAACTTAGTCAGCATTACATAGCATATTATCAATGACTAATAAAAAATTTACAGGCATACCCCACTAAATCTGACACTTTGAGAAAGCATGATACTGGATCCATATTGATACCAAATACTTTTAGAAACTCATTAGCTATGAGACAGCACACCAAGATCTAAACAATAATAATAAATGTGAAATAGATTGCAAAAAGTAACAAATAAGCAAATTTCTAACCATCCGTGCAGCAGCATAGACCCAGTAAGCCAATTGATGTGTCACACTAACCTAGATCACAGCATAAATGCATCATATGCGAAATTTAACTGGAGAACTACTCATGTATAGTGGGGGTTCAAAGTCTGAATGTCAACTATATTAGAAATTTCTTACTGACATGAATGTACATTCATTCAAATATAGAACTTCCTCATTCCTGCACCTCATCATGCACATCACCATATATTAACCACCCTTGACATTCATACTGATGGTCCCTATCTTGAATGTACCAGATTTCATATTAGATATTTGGACAAAATGGATGATCTTCGTAAGGAATGCAAACAAGATACAATTTCCTCCTAGTCAAAAGAAAGTTTCTAATTGGATTGCTTTGGCTCTAACCGTGGTGTTTTAACAACGTGATACTTCAAAATCTTGGCTTTGCTTTGATCTGCAGATATTTCATCTGGAAAGAGTTTTTCAAGCTCCTTCATGGTAGCTTCAATAATTTCCGAATCACTGCAAGAGATCCAGTCCTTGGCAGGTGCAAAAACCAATTCCAGCATGGATCTATTTGGGTCATAATACTCCTGCATGAAATATATTATGAATGGAACATTAGATCTGATTCACTCATCTAGTTTTACTTAAGGTTTGAAAGTCACGCACAATTGTCATTATCCAAAATATTGGAACTGGTTCAGGAATGAAATTCAGCCTGCTGCGGTGCAGCTTCAATTCCATACCACAATTATGTTGGATAAAAGTGTCTTCCTTTTAGTAAATCAATATTTTGCTTTCTTTTACATTTCAGGAAAGTCATATGTAAAAGAGTGAGTTTATGTAGCTTACATTAGTGGTAACAAATTTTAGGTATTCTATTTAGGTCTTCCTTATGAGCCAAGTATTAAGATTGACAAATATATAAAAACATGTTAACTGTCATTTTCTTAAATTTAGAAAAAATATATATTTTTTGTGGGCAACTAGTCAGCCTCCTGGAAATGACAAATCAAAACATCATCTTGGGAGAATGAAATGATTAGTTGTCATTTCACTGCATTGCCAACACTTTTTTCCATAAAGTTTCCAGTATACAACTTTTACTTGCGGATGATGGAGGGAAAAAACCAGAGATACAAGGTATTCCAGAAGTATTATGCTTTTTCTGGAGGAATAAAAGTGATGTAGATGGATTTCAGTGAGCATCGAATAAAAGTAGATGTAAATCAGTCCTCAAAAATTAGGTGTAAATTTGAAAATTAGAGAGAAAAAGGAAGAAGAAAAGTAAGAACAGCAGTACAAGAGAAGAAGATGGCGAAAAGAGGAGGAAGAAGAAGAAAGGTTCGAATTATTCTTCCCTTTCTTCTCTAA